ACTCAGTCACTTGTCATCATCAGTGGAGTAAACCAGGGTTTGATTACAGTTGGTGGTGGAAACCAAACGTATTTAGGTTTGATTTGGGGTTCTAGTTATATCAGGCGATTAATTTTACTAAGAAGATGGTGGGTGTAACAGAAAGCAAATCCTGTATGGCCGTATCCATCAGAGATGAAAAATAGATGGAGAGTTAAAAAGTTACTGATCATCTACTCAAAATAGCAGCAACATACATGACTTAAAATAGCAACATCTTCCCAAAATCAAACCTAAAAATACGTTTTAACTTTGTGACGACGATTAATTTCTCCTTAATCGGTGGGGTAAACCGGGGATTGACCATAATTTTACCGGAGACAAGATGTTAATCCCCGTAACCGTCAGGGACCGGGGCCGGGGGCTGTCACTATAAACCTCCCATCCCTGCCCCGTTACCATACCTAGATCGAATAATGGTCACATTGATTATATTAATTTTTTATAAAATTTAGATGATATATTTATTTAATAAAGTTAATTGATTTAAAAATTATGAAATAATTGCATTAATTTTGGGTTTGATTGATGGCGTCACTCAACCCGACCACTCAACGCCTTTCGGGGGTTGCATACATACAAATTACAATAGATAGGAACAACCCTCGACCCTTGGGGGTCCCAAAATCAAATCTAATCACCATGAAAAATAAAATAATAAATATTTATATAGAAAGAGGTTGGATTTTAAAATCGAGTCAAATAAACCAAATTCGGTCAAAACAATGTTCACATAATGAACGATACCTTTAACTAATTGTGATATAAAAAAATAATAATCTTGTTATAGATCTTAATATAAAGGTTTGTTTTTTTTTTTCAAAATTACCTTTTAATATCTCTGAAATTTGATTTGTTCAGACGTTTGGGTATTAAGAGTGTTTGTTTTATTTCTAAAATAAGAGTTTAAAAACTCTAAATTTCCTCTAAAATTTTAAGTGGTAAACATGTCTTATATAAGGGACGTTAATCCTAATTGGCCCTCTATCAGATGGTTCATATTTTGGGGGCTAAAAGAGATTTGTTAGCAAAAACTATTCATCTTTTATACGTTTAAAAAAACCTATTTATTTTTTTATATTTTCGTAATAGTTTGATCGATTCAAATTTCAGACTTCAGATGTAAAAACAAACAATCTTACTGATGCAAATTTCAGACTTTAGAACCATTTAGAGAGAGGGTCAGAGGCCTATAAGGGCCTTTGGGGGCCAGGGTTTCTGTGATTGTTTGTCTTAGGTAGGTAAAGTTCAGGCTCGACCCTGGACACGTGCAGCTTGTGCGACCGCATAGGGCATCAAAGCCCAACGGGGCATCAAACTTTTATATAGTATTAGTTTTGGGGTTTGGGGTTTAATAATTTGAGATTTGGGCTTTAATTATAAACAGAGTCCCAACTGACCAGATCTGTTAATAACAAACCCAAGGACTTGAATCGGTGACAATAGGATAGACTCACAAGACGATTGTCTTTGGCGATTAGAAATTGACGATTTCTTGTTCTTTGAGTGTTTATTTTTTCGATTTTCGACTACAATGTTCCAGTTTCAGAGGAAGACAATTAACGGTAACAAGTCTAACGACTGTCCATGGGACGATGGATCGATCTTGATGATTCGTCGATGCATTGCCGATTGCCCGACTATACATACTCGAATACACGATTGTCGATTAAACTCTCAAATCTCAAATCTCAATCCTTCATTGTTTCTCAAATCTCAATCCTTCAAATCTAGATACAGTCGATTGTATTTGTATTTTTTCAAATCTGGATTCTAGAACTGGAAGTGGAACGGTGGAAGTCAATTCCATTGTTTCTCAAACCAATGTATGATTATGTTTCTAAATTCTAACATAGTAACATTTAATTGATTAATTTTGACATTATGTATTCATTGTATTTCCAATTGGTACAAGCTCTCTTATGGTAATGGTTGCTGACTTGCTGTCCAATATTGTAATGGTGAAAACATGAGAAAAAACCTTAGTTTTAAGAAGATGAAATTAAAACTTTATTGTTAATGGTATCAAAATGTCAACATTTATCTTGTTTTTATTATAATATTAAAAGCCCATGAAAAACTGGTTGGAAATCGACAAAAAATGGCTAGAAAAATCAAGAAGAAAACAAAACAAAACCGGGTCAAGGTCATTTTTTTGAGCATGTCCATTTGATTTTGGTCATATGTTCTATTACTATGGGTTCAAGAAGTGCACGAAAACATCATTTTAGATGATATATTTATATTTTGTAATTTATGGTTTTGTTTTTTATGTCCCCCTTTGTATTTTTAATTTTAATTAATAAAATTCGGTGTAGAGTTGAGCTGTCTAGCTTGACTACGTTCGAAACGCTTTAAAAATCGTATTTTTAGTCGTTTCATTCGCTTAAAAAATAGACATAAGACATTTTTTAGCATCTTCGCACAGGACATAAAAAACCTCAGGAACGGCACTGGTAAAGTTTAATCCACTGTGTTATTTTTTTTCCCTACCTCTCCTTAAGTCCGACCATCCCAGTTAAAAGGATTGTGTTTCACTATTGTCTAGAGAACCAAAATGCAAACTGTTGTTTTAAAGGTCTCTGGTTTGAGTTTTGCAAGACGACTAAGGATTTATAGGACTGTTCTTTACTGTTTATTAGATTAATCGAGGTACGTATAAATTTATCTGATCATGTACATTTAAAAGAAAAAAAAAGGTAACTTTATCCAAAGTTTGATGTCGAATTGGTGTGTGTTACCTTCACGTCTACAACCCCTTTTTCCACAATTCCACTAAAAAATAGAAACTCCATGATCGACCTCACAATATTCGTTGTTTACAAATTAAATTTTATCTATACTATCTTATAAACCAGATTTATCAAAAGTTTTAAAAATAATTTTTAATGCACAAAGTCTTAAAAATCTTAAAAACAACTCATAATGCATTAAGTACTGCTACTTTATGCATTCAGTTTTAAAATCTCTTAATATACAATTAAAATAACATATACTGCATGTTATCAATGCACATTATTACCTTTTCTTTTTATGTTTCTAAGATACTTTTGACATCTTTCACTGATGTCTTCACTCTCTCATACATTTATGTTTTCTCCTCATCCCCCAATGTGAGATTCAAACTGATATTCATCATGAGTTATTAAAAGTTCTCTCATTCAATTGCTCTATAACTCTCGGTCTCGCTCTTGATCTCTTGATTCATTGTTCTTGGTGTAAATCAAACACATTTGTGAAACCGTTTAAATATATTGGATTTTAAACTGTCATACAATTTTTTTCATCGATAGATTGTAATTGGAACCATACTCCTATTTATTCAAATTGTATTAATATGCAAAGACCAAGTGCAACTTATATCATCGTTAAATCTTCTATAATAGAACTAGTGAAACTTCAAAATAGTTAAAATTCACGGCTCCCGCCGCATTGCACAAGTATACAACTAGTAGTAGTGAAATCTATAATTATGAGATTTAATTTTAATATTTGCATTTAGAAAGAAAAAAACAAATACCGACAACTCGGGTTATAGGACCCATTTGATATCTAACCAAATCTGCAACAGCTTGTGTACGATTACGACTCATGCCAACATATACGTACGGGCATTATTCGTTTTTATTTTTCTATTTGTATTTGATACTAAAATTCTTTTTAATTTTATTAATCTTATATTTTTATTGATTTATATATTCAATTTTATAATATATCTATTGGAATTTTTAAACATTTGTTAAAATAATTGTATTGATATTTTGTTGTGTTGTGTTTGGTGATTATAATTCAATAAATAAAATTTTTATAAGATTCGTTTTGATATTTAATAATTTATTCATTAAAAATATGTCTAATTATTGTCTATCATGTCATCAAAAATTAAGACGTGAAATAAGACAAATTTTACATTCATTTGTGATATCAGAAAAAAAGATGTTGATGCAACATGAACAAGCAAACCGTTATAGGAGTTAAGCAATTACTGTTACCAAAATTTCTTCTACAGATATATTTGTGTTCCATCTGCAAAAGTTGTTGACGGGAAAATAAATGATCATAACCCATCTGCAATATAAATGCTATTAGTAACTGTAAATTTGACTTAACTGTATAAAATTGGAAGATGGATCTTTTAAGTTTAAGTTAATACTGAAAGGTTTGTCAATAATAACAGTTCTATTACAAAAGTTAAATTTAACCTTTTAAATGGTGAAAATTAATATTATTTGAACTAATATCCATACATTAAAAATTTAATATCCGTACAAATTGACGAAAAATAAATAAAAACAACAGTAAAAATGTCGACAAAGTCAAAATTACCACTAAATAAGCTACTGTTATCATATTTTGCATCGGAATTATGTTCCCTAAAATTTAGGAAACGATAAGAGCCGAAGGTGTCACGTCTGTAAATGGAAATACCAATCAAATCTTAGGGTTCGTAAGAACAATCAAAGGAGGAATAAGGGGACGTTTACCAAACGCTTACCAGGATAAGCGCTTACCAAGTAAGTTACCTCACTGCATGAATATGGTAAAGATCAAGATTCTTACCCGGTAAGAGCGAGACAAGGACTAAGAGTCTTACCCCGTAAGTGAGGGCGACGACTCTTACCACGATAAGCGCTTACCAGGTAAATTGTTATATACGATGTCGTTTTGGTGGACTAAAATCTTACTCGGTAAGTAAATAATAGTGTTAAAATTTACCGATAAACACTTAACGGTTAAGTGTTTGGTAAAAGGCCCCTAAGTACCTCGCACCGACAGACCTCCTCTCTCTCCTACCAATCACGTAAAAATAAATTATTTATTTAAGTTTCTGTTGATAATCCATATTTATTGATTTAATACATGGGCTTAAATTGGGCTGGGCCCTTATCTTTTACGCCCACGGCCCATGTTACTAATTTGAAGATGCTTTCTAATTTGTGAAGAATTTCGATCAAATTGTTTCCCAAAACCTAAAGTAAACGGCATCAGTGAGACGAGCTCGAGCAGGGGCGGTTGGCAGAACTGAAGAACAGATATCGATCGATCTCATTCATCCATCTGGCGTCGATTGCAGGTATTTCAACTTTATTTTATGTATTCCTTCAAATTCGCAGCTGTAAACCATGTTTGGATGCGAGTTTCGAACAAATTCTAGGTCAAAACATGTACACCCTGTAAAATGTTTGGATGTGAATTGGAGTTGGTGGAATAGGGTTATGATGATACAGTTCGGCATTTTGATTTATGGGTATGTGGATGAGTGGATCAGTGAATCTGATTGCAGAAATGAAGTATGCTTATCCCAGGAAGGGAGAGTGGTGTCGATGATTCATTTGCATTATGAGTTTGAGAACAATCTGAAAACGAAAATAGAATATGGGATGAAAAGAACCATATAATTGAATGGTCAAGTTTTAGGTGTTGGATTCTATTTCTCTGAAATTTGATGACTTTCTGTCCCTTTGCATTAAATTATATGGCATGCAAAGAAGATGTAATTCATTGGGATTTTCATCTTTGTTCATGCTTAATGATACCTCTTTGTTGGTTGTGATTATGCAAGCTTGATGTGCCATCTTTAGTTTGTGCAGCGATAATCGGTGTGAACTCGAATGTGTAATTTTATAATCAACGTTGTTGTGATAATCGATTCTATCTTGTGATAATTGGTGTGAATCGAATGTGATAATTGTGATAAAGGACTGTGCAGTGATAATCTTGTGAAGTCAAATGTGATAATTGTGATAAAGGAATGTGCAATGATAATCTTGTAAAATTGAATGTGATAATTGTGATAATCAACATTACTGTGATAATCGTTTATATCATGTGATTAGCCGGTGTGATAAACATGTGATTAAGGAATGTGCAGTGACAATCTTGTGAAATCGAATGTGATAATTGTGATAATCAACAATGTTGTGAGAATCAATTCTATTGCTATGATAATCGATTCTCCATTTCGCTTTTTGTCGACTAATCCTTCTGAAACCTGTTTTTCTCTAATAATAGCCTACTAGATAACCACCGTCTTTGATGTTATCACTTCCTTGATGATCGGAGTTTTTGTGATCGTGTTATTTAAATATTATCACTTCAATTTCCAATTTTACACTTCCACATCTTAAATATTTTTGAATTTTTTAATATTAATTTAAATTTTAAAAAATCCCTTAACTTTGATTTAAAACACATTACTTGGTTTATAGGTTGTTCTTGCGTTCTCGTAAATCACAAGGGTTCTTGTTTGAACCCTTCTCTATAGCTGGGGGAAGGATTTAGCTGGAGTTTACAAATATATACATTAGACGACACGCAAAGCTGAAAAGAGTTTACTATGGTTTTCAGACTGTTCTTGGATCAACATGTGTACCTATAATACTTGTATTTGGTACTTCACTATGATCGAGAGGAAATTAATGAGAACCCTGTTGATTATTTGGATTTAATTCATTGATAACCATTTGAAAGAGATGATTTCGGATTGAAACTTTGCTGGAGATTCTGTGACATCCCAAGAAGGAATTTTGATGCATCTGTTTTGTGACATGTTATCTTTTTTATGATCTCAGTGTCATGGCCGGCATTGGTGGAAGTGAGCACAAGGAGCCGATCAATGAGCAAGAAGTTGCTGCAAAATACGGCAGCATAAGGAGCGAAATGAATCAAATTTACTCCAAAATTACMGAACTAGARATGGAARTAAGCGAACAYTCGTTRGTGRTCAATGCCATMCARCCMCTYGATCCWGCAAGGCGTTGCTACAGAATGATYGGAGGYGTRCTSGTGGARAGAACSATCAAGGAAGTGTTACCRGCYGTTCAACAAAAYAAGGAAGGAATCGAAGTGGTGATTTCTCGACTTAATGAAGCTTTGGAGAGGAAGAAGAAGGAGCTGACAGATTTTGAATCGAAGTACAAGATCCGGATTAGAAAAAATGATGGGGAATCCGTGGATGATAATAGCAAGAAAGAAGGATCCGCACAAGGAGTTCTTGTTGGTCCTGCAATTGCTTAATCGATTCAGATAGTTTTGTGCTCCCTAATCTTCTTTCGTTCATGTTATCGTATTGCATTCTCATAAACCATGAACATGAGATGATCCAAAGATTTGTAATATTAGATCACTGGTAGTTGCTGTTTTCGGTTGTGCTATTTTCTTTTTCTTTTGACAGACAGACAGGAAAATCCCCAGTGACTGTAAAAAGATTCAGACTGGCGATATATGACGAGGATTCAGAAGATCTAGCCTTTATCTATCAGTTGAGTCGACCGTCAAGATTTTGCAAATGGGTAAAAGGATTTGAACTGTAACATCTAAAGATCGTTAACATTTTGTTGGCTCTTTGTGATTCTTGTTAGAACGTTCGGTATTCTGCTATTTTTTATTTTATATATAATTAACAGAGTAAACTACAAACTTGGCTAATGTGGTTTGTTGAATATAACATTTTGTCTTTAAAGTTTTGAAATTATAAGATGGTCATCATGCTTTGTAAAAACGTTTGGTGTTTTCGTTAATTTATTTATTTTTTTTTGTTTTTTATCCAATCAAGAACCACATACACCACAATTATAAAATCGATTTTGATTGAGAAAAAGCCAAAAAATCGATAAAATGGTAAAAATGCCCCTCATAAAAGCAATTTGAGAGAGGGACCTAATTTAGATGTTTTTGTAAACCACGATGACTATTTTATAATATCAAAACTATAAGAACAAAAAGTGTTATTTTCGACAAACCACAAGGATCAAATTTGTAGTTTATCGGTTCCGAATTTTTATGGGACCGAAAACCGAACCGTATGTACAAATTTAGTACCGGTTTGGTTTTGATTTTGGGATGGGAAAAATCGTTACTAGGACCACTTTGGACCAAGAAATAAAAGTGGGTTAAGAAACAATTAAAAGTTCATAATGTTTCAAATATGTATCAAAACCAATCTGACCGATTTTTGAATTTCTTCCATGGAGGTGCCGATTTTGTTGACGGTGATAGGGCTTATCTTTTTTATCAAAGTAATAGTTATGGAGAAGATATGGATTAGTTTAAAAGAAAATATGATTAGTTTAGGAGAAGATAAAGATGAATACTGAAAATCATGTGACCCCTTGAATTCCGTTCGGTTCGGGGTTTTTTTTGGAGAAAATCTTGGTATCAAAACCGAAATACCAAATACCGAATTTGTAGTAACATAGAACCGATAACCGGACCAATTACATGCATTGAATACGGTTTCCGACCTAGTTCGATTTGGTTCATGAATACGGTCATTGAGTCTCATCCCTAGTTTACTCTAATTAATATGTTAAATATGATGACAAAAAATTAACTTTTAAATAAATCGATTTACAAGCTTGTAGACACTTGATGACATTTAGTAATACGTTTAACACCGTTTGACAAGTTTTTTATCATAAACTTTTCTTATACCACTAAGTAACACGTTTTAACATCCTCTGACTCGTTTTTATCACACAATTTTTTTACACCACTTATATGAATCGAAGTTGCTTCTGTTGTATAAATGTTTGCAACATGGAAAGTTCAACTATAAGATCGCGACACGTGCCCCTATTTGTTTTTGTTCATCGTGAATAATGAACCATATTCATCATAAATAATGAATATGAATTACACCGTTCAGGATGAACAATACACCTTTAATGATGAATATCACATGAATATCCGGGAAACGTGACGCCCCTCTGTTCAGAATAGAACTTGAATTTACAATTAAACCAGCCCCCAATCATCTAATATGTAATTTATACCATGGGAAACCATTTATTCATACACTACAGCTTTAATTAATTCAATAAATATAATTACTTCCATTCACATCTTCTAAAAGTCGAACCCTCTACTCACCATCATCACTCTCACTCTTTCCACATCTTCCAGACGACCCACTTCGCCATAAATCTGCATCAAAAGCTTGAAATTGTGATCATTATCAGGCTCCATTTCAAACAAATTTTCAGCAGCAATTTCCCCAATTTCTACATTCCCATGAACACAACAAGCATGTAATAATGCACCCCAAACTGTTGGACCAGCTGCAAATTGCATTTTATCTGTAATCACTTTGTAAGCTTCGTCAATCAATCCAGCCCTGCCATACAGATTCACCAAACATGCATAGTGTTCCATACTCGGAATTATTCCGTATTTCTCCATCATCGAAAACGATCGTTCCCCATCTTTCACCATTCTCAAATGAGCATAAGCTGTTAATACGGAAACGAATGTAATGGCATCAGGAGAGATGTTGGCATTCAACATTCGATTGAAGTAAACAATGGCATTTGGGTGTTTATTGTGTACAGAAATCATGGTGTTCCAAGAAATCAAATCTCTTTCAGGCATTTTGTCGAACAGCCGTCGTGCTCTATCCAACCTGCCTTGATTTGAGTACATGAAAATGAGTGAATTCGCGATTGGTAAACTCCATTCGGTTCCTTTACGAAGAACCCATCCGTGGATTTGGGATACAAGTTTTAGCGACGGCCGAGCTGTAAGAATCGTGGATATCGAAATGGAATCTGGCTCAAACCCATCTTGGATCATACGTCTAAAGATAACGGTGGCGTCGAATAGGAGCTCATGTTTAACATAGCCTGTAAGCATCGAGTTCCAAGAAACTACATCTTTTGAAGGAATTTTATCGAACACTTTGCGTGCACGCACAATGTTACCACACTTTGCGTACATGTCCACCAACCCATTAAGCACAAAACCGTTGTTTCCATAACCACGACGAATTATCTCACGGTGAACTTCCTCACCAACATGAATCAAACCCAAGCCGCCGCAAGCTTTAAGAACACGAGGGAATGTGAAACCGTCAGGCTCTACATCCTCTTCCACCATTTGGAAATACAATGCCAACGCGTCCTCGTACAAACCCATTTCGGAATATCCCGATATAAGTGAATTCCAGGCAAAAGCAGACGAATTTCTCTCAGACATATAATCGAACACTTGGTGGGCTTCCTCAATATAGCCATTAGAAGCATACAATCTAAGCAGCTTTGATGAAACACCCACGTTTCTACGTAGAACTTTTTCGGGAATCAATCGATGGATGCGGACACCTTGTTCAACGGCTTCTAAGTTAAAGCAAGTTTCAAGAAGTGAAGAAAACATGCTTGGATCATCGATCTTTATGCCATCTTTGATAGAAGCTTCGAGGTCATCAACAACGTTGCCAAGTGCCTGAAGTTTAGTCCGCGGGGATGGCTTCTGGTATATAAGAAGTTGCGTTGGAGATGATCTGGGTAACGAGAATTCGGAAATTTGATTTTGTTCTCGTTGATTTCGTTTCTTTTTTGTGTCTTTCTTGAAACAGAATGCGTTGAGAGTTTGACACTGCATACTAACAGCCATTCAAGAAGAAGGTAAAAGTGGAAGTTGTATGAATATGGCTTTTTGTAGACATTAAAATAACAAAATGCTGGGTTTTCGCAGCATAGAAAAAAATTGAAGACAACAAAAGAAATCTCCCAAAGGAAGAGAAAATTATATCTTCATATTTGGTATAGGACACTTAAAAAAAAACTTAATGGATTTCAATGGTTAGAACGATTAAGTTCTTTTGAACCATTTTTTGAAACAAATAAATCATTGAGCATTTCAAAACATGTTAAATAACTCCTTGAACTTTCTCAAAGTTGTTAGATACATTCTTATGACCTGTAAAACTAGTTTTAGAAAGTTCGAGGAGTTATTTAACAGGTTTTGGAATGTACTAATAACTTATTCGTTCCAAAAAATTATCCAATGACTTAATCATTTCAAACATTAAAGTTCATTGAGTTTTTTACTACTTTTCCCAATCATGTAAGCCTTGTTAGAAACTAAGAAATGAATGTTAAGAAAATATTTATATATATGTATCTTGCAAAAACTCTAAAAAATCTAGTTGAAGAAACGTAATTCTATCGACTTTACAGATTATGCATATAAATTCACATATTTATCTCTAGACGAGTCATTCAATGATTCACATTTAAATTTTCGTTTAATTTTCTTAAGATATTTAAGATTTTTAATTTGAACTCCTACTTCGCTTATAATAAGATTTGTTGACCCAAAATGTTACAATCATTCATGTCAACAAAATAAAATGAAGCGAAAAAGATTTCGTTTCTAGATCACTTTTTTAGAAAGCCGAAAAATCACAGGTTAAGCAATATTTTGAATGTCACGGGGTTCAAAACGATCCTTGTGGTTTCTTGATTAAAATAAACATCTCGAATGTAGTGATGACTGACGAGCGACAATCATAACTATGAAATGCGGAAAAATGACACAAATGTGCGACAATCAACGTTTAGTTGAGTCCAAATCGGTCGTCTGCGTGGTTTTGTGGCAAGTTCGATCTCTAAAAGTTGGAAAACAAGCACAATAAGATGAATGCCATATCTTTCTTGCATTATTTGCCACCATTTGCCATCTTTAGGTCCATAAAAATCTGCATAAGAATCGCAAAAGCTACATAAGCACATCAAATTCAAGACGAAAGAATAGAGAAGATTAATAATACTACCTTGTGGCTCTGGCAAAAGAGGTAAAAATGGATACTACCTTTTTTATGTTTTTTTCACTCAAGATTTTTTTTAATTAACCTGGATATATCCAACCCGCTATGCGAGCCGACTAATCTCAGGGCGACCATCTGCTTTGCAGATAGCCCGGAGCCACCGCATTTAAACCTCCGTGGCCACAAGGAGATTTTTATTTCTCCTTGGATTTTAACCTGAGACCTCCTGATACTTTTGACCTTTTGAACCAAGCTCAAACCAATCACTCAAGATTTATCAATCACATAATTAGCTTCTCACAATCATATGGTGGACGTCATTTATGTCCATATGAGATGGTTCCATGAATGTTCTTTTGAAGGAATGATATATGTTAAAAAAAATTGGAATCTTAGGGGATGTTTGGTTCACATGATCCAAAGAAATATAAATGGTCAATTCCGTTGATTAAATTCCATTTCGGCATTTGGTTTCTATATGGAACGGAATTGAATTTCACACGTTCCACCATTTATGGATTTGATCATTCCATCACAACCGAGGAATTGAATGTCATTCCATCATATTTTCTTAAAATGACAAAACTACCCCCATAGTGATATACATGTATATAATATAATATGTTATAATATGTATTATATTTAATATATATATATATATATATTATTATTCGTATTTTGGTCATTTTTCATTATTTCATTCTAATTCATAAGCTACATTAAACCAAACATACATATTCCAAAGATTGACTTGTTACATTCCATTTTTTGCCGACTAAACACTTGGACAAACTTGATAACGTTCCATTAGAATTCCTTTGACAAATTACATTCCTTCAAAAGAACATTCGGCGGACCAAACCCCCTAAAGGAATTGGGATGGTATATGAAGGTAAATGCTTTAGTTTAAGAACAATGCTCCTTTTCAATTTATTGACTAATTAGACTCCCTCAATTTCACAAAACTTGCTAACAAAGGCTTTTAGTTTTCGAGATTGATTAGAATTATCAATTTCAAAAATTAGACTGTCATTTTACCTCTAAAAAGAATGAAGAACGGAATGCGTACCTTGATGGCTACTTGGCAAAAATAGGCCGCACTCGTTCAAAGATCTCATCTTCTGTTCCAATGGCATTGATCTGCATGATTTGCCATCCGTTATTACACCAAAATATGACATTTTAAACCCGTGTTTAAAATGCATTTTCTAGCACAGGCCTCAGATAATGCTTAAAAGTCCTAAAACTAAAAATAACAAAAATGTAGATCAGTAAGATGTAAAACCTTGTACAGCTTCCCTTTCTCAGTGTAGTATCTAATAACAGGTAGTGTATAAGCTTCAAACACTTTAAGGCGTTCCTTTGTGGTATCGATATTATCATCAATTCGCCCCTGATCCAAAACATCAGAGAACAATTTCTTCTAGACCTTGGGTGGAGGAATTGGCTATAATTTTATACCAAATTATAAAGGGAAAACACACACCTGATTACGGTGTAGTACTCGGTTCATCATCTCCTCTTCATTGCAATCAAAGAAAAGTACAACTTCTGGTTCTATTCCAATCTACAGTTACCAAGTGATGATTTATATTCCAGATGGAGTCTTGAGATTTAATGAATCTAACATTTCAGTAAAAATCCCAAGGATGGAACTCACTATTTGTTCATAAGCCACACGGTTCTCCTCACTTCTAGGGAAACCATCAATTAGAAATTTATCAGTTTCACCAGATTCAATAACACTTTTCAGCAATTTGACTGTCACTTCTGAAGAAACGATTTTTCCTTTCGCGATTGTCTCCAGAATCATGTCCCTGAAAGCATAAATTAGCAATAGTAGGACACAGGATTTTAAGCATAAATTAGCAATAGTAGGGACACAGGATTTTAAGCATAAATTAGCAATAGTAGGGACACAGGATTTTAAGCATAAATTAGCAATAGTAGGGACACAGGATTTTAGTGCATTGACTCAAAAAGTGAAGTTGAATCAATACCCATCTTCACTGTTGGAAGATATTTCTTTTCTCAGCAAATCTCCAACACTCAAGTGTGTGAATCCATAAGTCTCAGCAATCCTTGTACATTGTGTACCTTTCCCAACACCAGGACCTCCTAAGAGCATGAAATGGCAAAAGCATCATTTTCCATTCAAAAAGTTTTCTTCATTCTTTTAGATCTTCCAGTTATAAAAAAGAGTCAAGTCGAGGGGCAAAAGGAAGAAAAAACAAAAGCAACATGCAAGATCAGAAAGTATGTAATCAGACACACTTAAGTGTGAAAACCTTTTTTTCCTCACCAAAATAAAGGACTAAATATGTGTATTATGCCTAAAATAAACAGTATTTATAAGAAGGTTTGGATACTAATCCAAGAGTAGATGACATTGACAATGAGCAACTAGAATTCGACAGGTATCATGAACACTTGAAACAAACTCATAACTATATTTAGCATGTATCAGAAAGCAACTCAGAAAGCAAAAACAAATAAGAAAAAGAACATTTAACATGTATCTGTGCATAATTTAATTAAACAGAACACATCAACTTAAGTTGCTTATATGTGCTAGAATTACCTAATACAAAGTTAATGGTTGGGGTCCTTGCCTTTGACAGGATTCTGGCTTCTGCCTACATCCACAGAAGATAATGGCAGATTATATAATGGTCGATCTTCTTGATAGAATATAGAAATTCAATTAAATAAACAAATGCCATCCACAGAAAAATGCACCAGAACTATAGATGTAAAAAATTAATGTCTTGAAAATTCGAAAAATGTTCTATAAATTAGAAGTACATCGTAAGTTCAAGTTCAAGCAGGAAAGTTACTTCTTCTCACATTCTATGTATTCATCCTATATCAAGATACAAGGCTTACAGTCATGGAAACTGAGAAATGGCGTTGTGAAGCAGAATACATAATCAATCAGTAAAGAAATACAAACAATAATAATACCAGTTTTTTTTCCTTATATTTGGTCAATCAAGAGAGTTATTGACACTTAAGTGGTAGAATCCTCGGTTCAACAAAAATCCACATCATCTTTAACTTGAAGTTGATTCATCTATAAAAAAAAGTTAAATCTGAATGCACATAGTTACATACCTGCTTCAGGACTTCTGTACTGAAAGCTTCCAAAAAGTTTAATCCATATGCCACCTTTATCAATTGCAACAATCACCATGAGACTTTAGACATAACCAATTAATGTAAATGGAACCATCAAGTAATCCAAATTCATGTAAACCATTCTATTGAATCCAATTGCAACATAATGAAAAAATCCACATATATAGTGCCATACAAGTACAAGGATATGTATCATAGGGCGTGCACTTGAAAAGAGCAATCACAAGAAGAGATATTGAATGCTTAGACTTCTAGAACTAACTTCCCTGATGTACAACCTGCAAACTTTAAAGGTTTCCTGTTTCTGTTAACCCCTAAACCCCCCCCCCCCCCCCCCTCCACATACCCCAAAAAAACTAAAATAAACACAACTCACATCGCTCTTACATATCAGCATGCCTCATGTACAGATATCTATCACATCACATTAACGATATGCAAGTTTTTTTTTTTTTTGAAAAGAAAAAAATGCATTCCTTTAATTGATGTGAATCATGTGATAGATAACTATCTGTTCAATTATATTTGTGCCTATATTAAATGTGTTGGGACACACTGCTTGAATACGAGGATTGATTTGAGCTATAAATGGATCCCTAAAGCTAAGATTATGGGGGAAGTATTAGGCCCAGAAAGCAAATAAAAAACAGTAAGGCTAAGGGTCAGGCAAATCTCAAAGAGAGGGCAAAACTGATGACTACCTCAATCCCACAAATAACAACCCACCTGGACATGTCGTCCAAACAGAGTGCTGATTCATTTGATCATGACAAATAGAAGAAATCTCAAACCTCAACGGAGCACAAAAAAGGCATTCACAGATCTTGGAGCACAAGCATACAATCAACTACCACTAGAGGAGTTGAGATTGGTAAAGATCTTCTAACAACTTCCTTTATTTACAGCTTGCTCCTCTTCTCTCTTTAACCGGTTAATCTCCTTCCCTTAGTGCGCACTCTCACTCTTGAGGCAGATCCAGATCCCAACACCCTAGTATATCCATTTATGGTGGTCAACAGACCTTGACTAGTGCAAGACAAGATTCAATTGCTCAACGGAATCATCTATAAACAAATACACTCTCGTGAATGCCTAGATGTATCCATCTTCTGCCACAACTGATCATTATAAATCTCATGTGACCAGAAGCCTGCTTACAAAGTTGTCTCATACAGTCACCACACATGTATACAATCCAAGTGAAAGCATCTTATCTCACAATACGTTTGGCCACACATACGATGCTTCATGCTCGCATAAAAGTCAATGATTTTGCAAAAATATACATACATACGTACATATATACATACATATATATATATACATACATATATATATATATATATATATATATTGTTTCAATATGGATTGCCCCTCGACCTAGAGTACTCAACAACAACATAGAAGCAGCTACTTCCTCAAATGTATGAAACTGAGGCATCAGCATGAGTTGCAGTGCACACACACTGTTGACCTCCCTGATAACAAGACAAAAAATAACAACAATAATGATCTTATATAAATTTGAGCTCATGGCTTGTAGCTTAGTCAAAGCATAAATGTTTCATCCAGCATCTCTATTTCAGCCATACCTGATCAATCAATCAAGCTTACACCAACTATCAGATAAACCACATAAATTTAATGTCAAAATTTTGGTTAAATGACCAATTAAACAGCACAAGAATCTGTTTTAACAACTTAATCAATTCATATAAACAGATAAAAACCAACCAAATTGAAGCATTCTCGTAGCTAAAAGATTATTGTACCTGATTTAGCAGAGATGGCTTGGCCGCAGAAATCAGCGTTGACAGTGAACTGACACGCCTAAACATATCGCGATCTCAAATATACCTTCTATTTTAAGTCTGTACTTGCACGCTGTGACATGTATGTATGTATGAACACAATCCGTGACACTTGGTCGAATTAGAGATTCAAACTAAGATCAGTACAGTTGAAGATAGTAGCTTCCTGTCACCTCCAACGCTAATGTCTCTCGACGATTAGGGGAAAGGGGTTAACGTGAAGGGAATCAATCTCACATACACATTTCATCGAACACCTTACGGGCCATGTGCAACCCTGTCCACCGGCTCAGAAACACAAACGCTGAGTTGGGCGCTTCTGCGGGAGCTTTTGGTAATTTTCATTTATAAAATATGATGCTACACGTGGATAATATAATAATATAATATTGACTTATTTAGTTTAATTATTTACAAACACTTCTTGAAACTCAAAGTCAAAAATTAATAAATGAGTAAAAGATTGTTTGATAGTTGTTGATTGGTTTAATATATGACTAGTTGTCTACCCGCGCAATGCGGCGGGATGTAAAAAGTTCATTTAGGGGCAATTTATCAAACACTTACCCGGTAAGCACTTACCAGTAGAATGTAACACTATCGTTTATTACCAAGTGAGATTCTAGTCCACCAAAAGGGTATCGTATGCAATAATTTACTCGGTAAGTGTTTACCGTGATAAGAGTTTTAGTCCTTGTCTCGCTCTTACCGGGTAAGATTTTTGGTTCTTACCATGTTCATCCGATAAAATAATGTGACTTTGTATTCACTTACCCGAGTAAGCGTTTGTTAAAGGAAAAGGTATATTTTCAAACCCAATTTCTACAATAAACAAAATATCCTGAAATCTGAAACTTTCATAGCGCCCTCCTCCAACCTCTCTCTCCCACTACGAGCATACTCATTGGCGTTTGCTCTAAAAACACTTCAAATATACCCAAGGAGCAATCACAGGAATAACAAAAATATTTTTTGGAAACTTCAATATAAGATATGTTTTGGGAACTTCAGTTTAAGATCTTAACTAAATGAGTTTCATTCCCATTTCAAAATCTTGAATTCCATGCTTCCAAACACTGCCTGAAGCAACGATCGAATTCCAGTGTATGCTTTCTTTATGGTAAGATTGTAGGTACAAAGATCAAACTGTTTACAAAAAGAAAATGGATATTAGAACTTGCAGAAAGATTAAACTGGAAAGGGTAAATCCATTGTTCAACTTACTCTGTTGTAATAACCTGGTAAACAATTATCAGAGGTATGGGTACATCAAAGTTTTCCACTGCTGATATTACAACTCAAAAATGGATCTACATACCAAAAATCGAGCCCAATATTATAGTTTAAAACATAAAGAATGACAAATCAGATGCTAGAGTTAATATTTTATTGTTCTTTTTCTGAGAAAAAATAGAATATTCAATTACATGGTTAAATGTACAAACCTGTAATTGATGTACAAACCTGTAATTACAAGAGTTGAGCAATCTCAAGAGTTGATAGGTAATTGGGCACAAGAGTTGCCATTAAGTCGTAATATAAGTAATTGGATGAAAGACAAACTGGTAAAGACCTGCCATTAAGTCGTAATATAAGTAATTGGGCACAAGAGTTGAGAAATCTCAAGAAGGCTGCACCTGGTTGTTTTGAGATCCACCAACAGCCTGGTTAAATGACTGGACRRGAGCCTGATTACCAGTGCTTTCACCTCTTGAACTGAATCAAAATTAGCCCAATTGTTATTTGATGATGTTGTTGGCTGATGGGCAAATAGGGCTGGAAAAGAAGCATTCTGTTGTATTTGTGGCACTGGAACAGTTGAAGTGGGTTCAAGAACAGCATCAAAATCAATTAATGAACTTTCGGTTCTAAGTTTAGCTGGATTCCCATTAGAAGATGCCAAGCCACTGGAAGATACAGGTCTCTGCAATCAAAAACAATTTTAGTTTGGGCGCTTTAAGTTACTTCTTCTGTCCCAACGTAAATGTCCAAAATGAAAAAAAGCAGTGTTTTAGAAACGTGTAATTGCTACACTAAATAACTTTTGTACCCTTATTAATAGAGGAGTGATGAATTTATCCATCTCATGGTTAAGGGCAKAATTGAAAGTATACGCTTACTTTTGAAAGTGGACATTTATTTTGGGACAAACAAAAACAGAAATATGGATATGTATTTTGTGACAGAGGGGGTATTTGGGAAGATGGAAAGACATGGTGTGCCATAAACAATAAAATACATTCTGAAATTAAGTTTATAGCTAAACACGTTAGAATGAATGTAGATGCAATTGGCTGGATRAGAATGTTTTCCACATTTCCAAGAACAATGGCTTCTCCATTTGTTTCACAAGTGGTTACAAATAACAACAACATGGTGGTCAGGGAATGTATTTCTTAAACCCTTTGTATCCCTAAGAAATTAACTGTTTTGCAACATAGCATTTCCATATTTCGAAGAACAACTGGTCCTGCACTTGTTTCACAAGTATTTGCATATGAAAAGAACATAGTGGTGAGGGATGTATTCACATGACTTGTTAACAGCTTTTTATGCCTAACCAGATGACATTTGTATATATGCGAGTCTAAATGCCTTACAAGCAAATTGAGCTACCGGTAACCCAAGTGTGTAAACTGAGCGTAAAATTAGACAAAGGCAACGTATAACTTTAAGGAGGAAGAACTTTACTTGCGTACGCGAGCTTAGCCAAACAAAACTGAGAGATTAGCCAAACAAAACAGATTCTGGAGGTTCGAGAAGTATCAGAATCATCAAAATCTGAAGGTTCGAGAAGAGCCTCCTTACCTTGTGAGATGATATCCATTGTCGATTTCAACACTCCATCGATCGCTGAAGCTCCGACCTCGATCGAAGACGGTAACTCCTAAACTGCACGGCTCTCGCCTTCACGGAACAAATAAAGTGACAATGGTGCTTTATTAAGATAATGTAGTCAATGAATAAATAATTTACATTATCATATTAGATTTGTATCTTCTAAAAAAGTTATGAGGTCATAGGAAGTATACATATCTAATCCTAAAACTCATACCATTACGATTTTGAGCTGATTCCGAAGCATCAGAATCATCAAAATCTGAAGGTTCGAGAAGAGCTTCCTTACCTTGTGAGATGATATCCGTAGTCGATTTCAACACTCCATCGATCGCTAAAGCTCCGACCTCGATCGAAGACGGTAACTCCTAAACTGAACGGCTCGCGACTTCCAAGATATATCTCGATGGTATGTTTCTAGTACTAATTCCGATCTAGTCGTTATAGTCTTCACCAAATCTCCAAAGCTCCACAAACCATCGCCACCACCGATGCCACCAACCTCTGCAAAAGAAGTCAAATTTAAATCCGTAAACTCCTCTTCAACTCTTGATATCTGTAGGCTTCTTCTTCCACTCGAAATTAGGCCTTGATATATACTAAAGAGAATCGAATCGAATGGAATGAGAAGTAAAATGGAGCCACATTGAGAATGAGAGTCTGATTTTAAAACTCACCTTTGAAGGCGTGCTCTTGGGGAAGAGTGTTCTTGGGGAGTGAAGGCGTGCTCTTGGGGAAGAGTGCTCTTAGGGAAGGGGAGCCGATAAGGGGAAGAGGAGAGCGTGCGATTATGGGTCTTGGGAAGAGGAGAGCGTGCTTGGAGTGGTGACTGGTGAAAGTGTTTATGCATTAAAGGTAGAACATTATGCATATTAAGTTGTACATTTTTAAGACTTTTAAGACTTTCTGCATTAAATGATAGTACCTTATGCATATTAAGGTGTTTTTAAGACTTTGGGTAAATTTCCTTTATAAAGTAGTATAGAAAGGTAAAAGGGTATTTTGGGTATTTATAAATTTAAGACTTTAAGACTTTGGGTGAAAATGCTTAATAAAGTAGTATAGATTAAGTGGGTTGAATAATTAAGAGATTTTCATGATATAGTGGAAAATGATATATAATTGTTTACAATGAAACTAGGACACTGAATGGTTAAGGAAGGCCCATGAATCATACAGAAACAAATTTTTTTTGTCAAACAAGATTTACCTTTTAACGATTCAGATGTTGTCTCTTAATGAAACAATTAAGAGGTAAACAAACAACCCCTAAATATTTTGTATTATACTAAAAGAGTACTCGCACAATGCAGCGAGACACATCTCGATTTTAATGTTCTATTTTATTATTTGTCTCTGTCGATGTTATAATACGATTTTATGTGTTTTTAAGAAAACAATAATGATTTTATTTTTGAATAAAATATAAATTTGAAAACATCATAAAAATTTGAAAAACAATATATCAATGTTA